TTTTTTTTTTGTGGTTATAGCGCTACTTTGTTTCTGTTTTTGTTGTTAATTTAAAAAATTTTGATTATCTTTGCGACTTTTGCAAAAAGTGGTATTGCTGATGTTGCATTTTAGACATTGGGAGTCAACTTTTTTATTTTTTGACGACAAATGGTATTTTTTGAGATAGTTTTTGGTTTTATGGCGTAAGTGCGATTCTGATGAGGTAAAAGTGATAAGGCAGTCGAAATTTCCTTGATGTAGTTTGTATTTATAATACGTGTACAGTTTCGAAATTGTTCAAAAAATAAAGGTTTTAAGCAAGGAACTGCGTTATTATTTGTTGTGCGAAAGCCTTGTGCTTAAAATAATTTTGAGGATAAGAAGGTATCATTTGCGACGTTTGCTGAAACAGTTAATTCTGTGCAGAACAAGTTAAAATCATGAGTGTTTTTAAGGAAAGTCTATATTTGTAAGCAAAGATATATTTATGATTTTAATATTCTGAGGCAGTATCACCTCTAGTGGTGCATAATTTTGTGATCTTGGAAGAGGGTCCAGGAGTCTCTGTAATCCCAGAAAATTTTTAGAGTTTGAAGAAAAGTGTTGAAGGTTTGCGATTCAAAGTGGGGCGGGAAGATGATTATGTGTGACATATAAATATCGCCAAACCAGGATGTCACAAGTTCATGAAGGCAGATAGGGTTAACCGTTTTGAATAATTTCATTGATATAGGAGTAAATATCATTCAGAATGTCCATGTTTATTGTTTGACTTGAGTAGTAATATATATTTTCGCCAACTTGACCACTGGTGTGTCATAGATTTTGTGAAAATAATGAAAGCAATTGTATGGGTTTTTGCAACACTGATGTGAAGAGGATGGTTTTATTCAGTTTTTTTAACAGCAGTAGGCTATTTGTAATGATAATTGGAAGCAGAAAAGATCAACAATTAGGTGAGAATACAGAGGAACTGGAGACGCCGAAGGGAAAGAACATGAACTGCTTTGGGATGTATGTCTAATTTGCTTTAACTGCACATTGCATACAGAAGATGTTGGTTTTTATAATGTATGGCAGAAGATAATTGGTCAGTTGTTGGCTCCTGTATTCTGTTTTTCTGACGAGAAACTGTAGGTTGACTTTCGTATAAATTTTTTTCTCTTTATCTTTTACTTTTATTTGTTCTTTTCTTGTCTGTTGTTAGCCGTCGACAAATTCTAAATTTCAGTTTCGCCAATACATCAGTGTTTATTTTTTAAATTCTAAACTGTAGTCCTTTTCGGAACATGTAGAAAGAGCAAAAAGAAGAATTGTTTTCTAACGATCTAATTACTTTTGCCACTGCAATCTTTGTATTTTAAGGCTCTTCTTCAAGTTTAATACATTTTTTCACCAAATGCAAATTCAAATGAATTTGTAGAATTATTTGACAATCTGATAAAACCAGATACGGCGTGTTTCCAACCAAAGAAACTCAAAGAAACAACAATCAAAACAAATAAATTGATCAGTGATATACAGTGATATCAGTGGAAGAGGAAAAAACAGCGTTTTGCTTAAAATAAGAAAAGCAAGCGTTAAGCAATGTTTTTTTTTTTTTTGTTTTCTCCAGGATTAGAATAATTTCTGGAAAATAAGCTATTTTTAATGCAAAACAGTTCTGGCTAAAAAGAAGATTAAATGATAAACCTGTCTTCCTGGGTTTTAGGCTTTTTAAACAGAAGGAAAAATTAATATTAGGCAAACAAACAAATACCAACAAGAAAAAAAACTAAATGTTTTTTTTTTCTCCTGAACAGATTAATCACAACATAGATTCATTTAACAATGTAGAACAAAGTAAAAAGTAAAAATGGAAATGCAAATTTCAGTGATCGTTCTATTGAATTTGACCGATTGACAGATACACTGATTGACTAGCTGACAAACTGGTCCTAATCGGCTCCGGCTCTGAATGCTAGTAATGGAACAAAAAAATCACGTCAAAATACATTTGCTGATATATATATACATGTGATAGGATAAATAAAATAGATTTTACAGATGTTGAGAGCCTTAACTTTAAACCGTTATCATTGAACTTTCAGGCGCTACAGTGTATGTATTTTTTGAACATTTCTTGTTTTTTCTTCTTTTGCTTACATTATGAAAAATTGCGGTTGAAACCAATTTATCTAAAGTTTACCAAGACGGTTCATGGAACTGTTCACAACAACAACATCAGTGTATGTTATATAATTTTATACAATGTTTCTGCTATTTTATCGTTTATTCTTTTTTTTTTTTGTCAATTTTATTTTTTAGTGCTTCTTCCGAAAACATAGCAGGCGAGTGGGTGAAGCTTGTTGAATAATAATAATTAGGAATATTGGGGCGAATATATTGAGTGCCAATTTTTAAATTTCACTGTGTCTGTCTGTGTCTGTGTCTGTATCCATTTTTTGGGGAAGTTTAAGTAAAGGTATTTGTGTATGGATAGGTATATGAAGTGATTGGATATAAGTGATGTTTAATTGACTAGCTGTTGGTCGACTGTATTAACTTATGCTCGTTTTCCCATCGTCGTTTTATCTTCTGTCTAGTTTTGTAGTCTTCTGCAAAATG